TGCAAACTCTTGCTCATATCTAACTATAACTCTGCACCCAATGCTCCAGCTCTGCCCATTGCTGCTAAGCCCTTTTTCTCCCAGTCTCTGGTAGCCACTATTCTACTCTCAGCTTCTCCAAGATCAACTCTCTTGATAGTTAATTCCAGTATGAGTGAGATCATGCAATACTTGTCTTTCCCTTCCTGGCTTATTTCACTTAACATGAGCATATGTAGGTCCATCCGCATGTTGCAAATGATAGGATTTTCTGATTTTAATGGCTGTATAGTATTCCATTGTACATATGTACCAAATTTTATCTATTCATCAGCAGAAGAACACTTAGGTTGATTCCATTTCTTGGCAATTACAGTGCTAAAATGAATGTGGGAGGACAGATACTGAAAGAGAAATTAAAATTGTAAATAAAAGCCTGCCAAGGATGCCCACAGAACATTTCTTCCTTTGTGTAACCCATGCTTGCTTAACTGATGGCCTTACAATGTAACTTGAGATGTTTAAGATCCCTGGGCAACCCGTGATGTTACTCAACCCTCCAATCATAATGCACTAAATCTGCCTTTGTACCTCCTGCCTAACGTCCCCATAAAAGACCCAAAACCCCACCAGGCAGGGCTGACTCTGTGGGAGAGAACTAGTCAGGCCCACCTGTGTAATAAACTACTCCCTAAGCCTCCTTCATGCAGTTTCTTCCTGTTTTTGGTACACTTTCCATAAAAGTATCACTTCAGCATAACGGTTTCATTTCCTTTGGACATTCACTCAGTATTAGAATTGCTGCCTTATATGACAGTTCTATTTTTAATTTTCTAAGGAACTTTCACAATGGTTTCCATAATGAGTGGTCTAATTTACATTTCCACCAACAGTGTGCAAGGGGTCCCTTTTCCCATTTGTGAACTGATTTTATCCCAGTTCACTTTTGGATGAACTATAGAAGCAGCGTCTTGCACTGCTCTACAGGAAGCTGATTTCATACATCTGTTTCATGTCACGTTCTTTGAAGGGAACCAAAGCATTTGGCTACTTTCACTGAACACTTGCTGTATGACTGACAGCACGCAAGTCACAGTGCACTATTCATAAGAATAAGGTCCATCTTGGACCTCAGGCCATCCATTGTCCAGAAGGGGTCAGGCCAGGTCAGCATCTCAGATCTTCAGGACTCCTCTCCCCAGGATTCCCCCATGTCAGCACACTGCTGGACAAGTACATGTCTAAGACCTCACAGATTTGAGGGTATGCTCTAAATTCAGAATAGTCTTCTATTATCCAAATCTTGATCTGTCATAATTTATTTTTAACTATGCATCTGGCTGTGTAAGTCTGGTTAGGACAGATCAAATCTATGCTGATCCCAATGGCAACCAGCAACTCAGAGGCCCCTGGGGAAAAGCTCGCAATCTGTCAGTATCATAAAGGTGAATGCACAGTTTGCATGCAAAGGCTGAGTGACAAACAGATCGCGTGCAAAGGTAGAGCACTGGGGAGGACGCTGTGTTGAAAATGGAAACAGATTATTAAAAATTCATCTGCAGTCCAGTCACTGTACGAAGGACTGCAACGGATGGAAAAGCTTGGTTTAATTTAAAGTTGGAAAGCTTAAGACGCATAGTAACAAACGGTGAGGCATCCGAACCTGCATATTTACATTAACGAAGGCCCATGACCTTCACAATTGTAAACAGGAAGGAAAGTGACTATAGGACACAGCTTTGATAGGCTGTCAACTTAAAAGAGAGCACTTCAAGTGTTCGGCCAACATTCTAACAGATGGTAACACATCCCACGGGGAACATGAGCTTAAGCTTTTGTGGACTTGGACAGAGATTTCTTTTTGTTAAACCAATCTAAACCTGTATAGGGAAATTTTGCCTGGTAGCTAAACTTTTCCTACTTAATACTGGCAGTTGTTTACCTGGGGGTTGGCTGGTGATGGGAGAGGCAAAAGGCAGGTGTTGTGAGAGTAGGGGTTTAAGAGATCAGAGTTTATGAGTCAGGGTACCAAAAAGTCGGGGTGAACTTTGGAGATCTGAAGTGGGGCCCTCAGATTTCAGCCAGTTTCTGATTTGTGCAGAGCTGTAAAAGCACCCTAGGATGGGAAGAGAGTCTGCAAAGGATTAGAGAGAAGAATTTTAGAGGTTACAGAAGAACAGGAATAGAACCTGTTTCCATCAGCTAGAGTGAAAAACCTCACAATTCCTCAGCTGGAGGAGAGTGCTCAGTGGGGCTTGACCTCAGTAGCATGGTAACAGCATTCTGAACCTAACTACTGGTCACTCCTTCACAATAAAGGGCGAGACACAAAGTGATCAACCTTTTTCCAAGCAGGACAACTTTACCCAAGAATAAAGCTCAAAAGTATTATAGAAATAATATAGGACTCACCAAGCAATACTTCACAGTGTCTGGTAACTAAAGCATTTCTCAGGCATGTAAAGGAGCAGGAGGACATAAACTATAATGAGAAGCGTTCGAGCCACTGATACTGACCAAGAAACAGCAGATGATGGAATTACTTGAGAAGGATATTAAAATACATATAACTCCTATACTCCTAATAGGTTTCAGTAGTAGAAGAATGACTAAACATATCAATGAGAGATAAGGAAGACTTAAAATGACTTAAATAACTATTCCAGAGATCAAAACCTCAATGTCTAAATTTAAAAATATCTTGATATGGTTAAGAGTGGAAAGCATACTATCCTGAAGAAAAGATTAGTGACACAAATGTTCATGACAACATTACACATGGGATGTAGGGAAAAATTGGAAAACCCCAAATAGCTGTCATTTTGATTAACTTATAAACAAAATATGGTATATGCATACAGTGGAATATTATTTAGCTACAAAAGGACTGGAACACTGTTTCATACTGTGACAGATACTCTTTGAAAACACTATGGTAAATGAAATAAACAGGTACAATAGGTCACAAATTAAATGATTCCATTTGAAAGAAATGTCCAGAATAGGTATATGCATAAGACAGAGAACAGAAGGGCTGGAGAATGTGGCTGTTCAGCAGAGAGACCAAGCCATGTTTAGAATCTCAGAACGTTCACTTGCACGCTTTCACCCTCTGCAGAGATGAGAAGGGCTAGAAACTGTGTTAATAACCAATTCTACCTACATATGAAACTTCCAAGAACCTCTCTAATAATAACTTCACTGAGTTCAAAGTATTTTTAAATTTCCCTTTTGTATTTCTTCTTTTATATATGGTTATCTAGAATTGTGCTTTCTGATTATAAATATTTGTGAACTTAACATAAGCTTTTCTGTTATTTATTTCTAATACGTAATTCCATCATGGCTGGAAAAGATACATTAGATGATAAAAGAAAATCCTATTCCTCTACTCACACTTCTGACACCAAGTATGTGGGTTTTTCACAGAAGCAGTTCTCCACTTCTCTGTGACACCAATGAGTGTCTTATGTTTTAGTTCTCACACTAACGATCCAGAGTCATCATAGTCCTGATAAATTAAGAGCTTAATCCTGTGAGATTGCCCCTACTTCAGATTCCTATTGCTCCCCGATTCATATGCTAGGGGTAGGTTCCTGGGATATCCAAGAGGCACCATGAAATCTGGGGGCTGATGGGTATGAATGTCAGTCTTGATTGAGATGATAGTTTCTTGGGTCAAACTGCAAATTTCACATAGGGAGCTTTGCATTTGCTAATTGAATTACAATCAAGACTTTTCAAAATGGTAATACTCAAACTTTATTTTGTTTACCATTTTTTAGTATACATTTTACCTATTTCTCTCTTTTAATATTCTTATATTTAAGCACGTATTAGAAATAGTATAAAGCTAGATTTTAGAGCATTTGATACACTTAAGTACTTTTTGACAGTTACAGAAATAAATGTAGACTGGTACTCTGAATAATGTAGTCTACAATTCAATTCATGCACATTCATTATTTGAGTTCATTTATAATACATTATTTTATCCTTTTTATTTCTCCTATCTATTCCTCCATTTTTCTTTCCCTCTTTCTTTTTACCACCTCCATTTATATTGGTTTTCCTAATTTGCATTAATTGTTTTACTCCTCATTTCAACCTTTTCTTTGCTTCGACTTCCAGAACTAGATACTGTTTCATTGGATGCCCTAGAAATTTTAACACAAGATTTTTCACTTAGTCTAAAATGATGTGATACCTTTACATTATCTCCCATAATATAAAAATCCCACTCATGATAGTTTATTTCCTTAAGTGTTACAATTTCATGTTTTGTTTTGCTATGTGGATACAGTATGACAGCATCTTAAACGGAATTTTAGATCACTGGCAACACAGATCCCAGCTTTTAAATCTCTGTGGGGCTGATTTATGGTTGAAGGCTCTCCGAGCAGGGCTCATTCCCCTCCCCACCTTCTCACAGACAAAACGATGGGCCACTCTGTTGCTGCAAGAGGAGGGGGCTCTTCTCCACAACTCAATTTTCAAATGTACTGACCTTCAGAAATCCCAGATTGTGGTAGGATACTTAGATCTGATCACTCGTCATATTAAGGCATCAGGCTCAGTCTCCCAACCCTCACATTTATGATTTGGTCTGTTTCTTATAAATTTTTAATTAATCAGAAATGTTAATAAGTCCTATATCCTCCAACTTGTTAGTAGTGTAGTAACTACAGATGCAACTCTGAGGTTTAGATTGCCTCGGTATGTCTGTTTTAGAAAATACTATTCCTTGAGGTCAGATGTTCCAAACCTGATTTTCAATTATAAATTACTTCTAAATGCTGTTGGAATAGCAGATACTCCTATGCAAAGAAAATTCCACCTAAATGCATGGGATAACATCTTGTTTAGTTCATTTCATCTAGTCAGAAAACACAACCACTGGAACAATCAGTAGTATATTAACACTACATGGGCCGGCATTCACCAGTAATGACATTTGAATGGAATAAACTCTTAAGATCAAGTCTTCTTCCCAAATGACACAGATCACGTTTCCTAAATACCTGGTGAATGAAGCTTGGTGGTGGAAGCTGCTATTCTCTTAGGAGATGAAACAGCAGGTTTATTCGCATCTTGATCTTTTTGTGCTTCTTTCTTTATTCCTATATAGTTTGAAAAGAGAAAAAGAAATAAAAGCTAGTTATAATCCAAATGGAAAGATCAATTGCGGAAAGGACCGCTTATCCGAAGGCAAACAGTAAAACAAAATATTTCGATGGTTTGTCGCTATGGTCAGTACCCCTCTGGGCTGGAGGAAGGACACGTTTGTTTATGGTAAAGGGAATTCAGTTTTAAGTGGTCAGGGGAATAAGCACACTGCTGCCTCTGGTTTGATGAAAAACTTTATTTCTGCCACCTCAACGACCCTCACAAAGTATCTAGGAATTAAAATTTTATCGTCCTTGGCTGCCTCTCTCTGCCAAAACAATTTCTCAGAAGACAGCGAAGGAAGCTGTGGCTGAACATACACTGCTAATCACTTTGGCATCATCCTGGACCGAGCCCCAGGGGACAGTGTCTGACTCTTAATTTCCATGCAGCTGGTCATAAAGGTGACCTGAACAGTCTTTGACCCTCTCAGCTGCAGCTGAGCCTTTGCGGAAGCTGCTGCCAGAGCTGTCCCTGCAGAAGACATAACTCGAGTGGGGGCCATCTGTAGGAAGAGCATGTGAATGCCCCTCAAGTGAGGTCTAGTGGCACATGGGGTACAGAGTGGCATCTCTCGTATGTGCTGGGGATAACACTCACCTCACTGCCTCTCTTGGAAAGTCAAACAACTGTGGATGAAAGATGAGAGAAACCACATAGAGCAAGCCATCCTCAAGACTTGCCTCTGCTTCTATATACTGATGTCATTTCAAAAACAAAGATTGGGATGGTTTCTTAGATGGGTAACACGGATGTTCTCAAACCCTCTGACCAAACTCTTCTTTCCAGATGTAACTACTTCTAGCAATTGGGTGATTATTAGCTTAGGTATTTTTCTAGGTATTTAAAAATATACACACATATTCAAATACAGTTATTAGTTAAATAAGTAGCCAAACACTGCCATTTCATTCATCCTACACATACTCGGGAGCAACTACTTTTATCAGTCAGTTCACAGACTTTTAAAATCACCACATTGTATTATGGTTTGCAAGTTTTAGCTGGCAAAACAGCTACATGTGCCACCATAAACATTCCTCAGCTTTACCTTTGACACATGTACCAGCATCTGTAGAGGACAAAATGAGAGCTACATGGCTGTGGGGTCACGAATTCACTCATTTTCACTGCTGCCAGAGTTCAAAGTATCCGCCAAAGGACCTACCAGTTCATACTCTCAGTCAGCAGCGCATGAGAAGTACTCTTTCTACACGTCCATGCCGTACTGACACACAAGTCGCAACCATGTAATATTTGCCAAACACCAAAAATGCATTGTTTTTTTGGAAGTTACTTTAAAACAGTTAAATAGGTATGACTTTTTCTTACTGATTCATAAAACCTCTTCAATTGTTCTGGAGATCGGTCTTTCCCCTGGTAATCTCTTACTATAATTATATTTTCCAGCATTTCATTAAAAAAAACTTATAGTATCTTTCATTGTAATTTTAAATTTTAATATGCCCAAATATGTTGAGCTTTTCTTTCATACTATTACAAACGTGTATGTATGCATGCAGGAAATGCTTAACAGGTCAGCTGAGACACTTATTACTTAGAGAAAAAGACTGGAATGTCTTTTTCTAAGTCTTCTAAGTAAGCCCAGCCACGGCTCCAATTCTCCAAAGTTACAGGGACCTTTAGGGCCCCCCTCCCACCACCACCAAAAGGCTAATCTCACTCTTTCACTTCTTTTACCTGGTATGATTTTAGGTCTTAACAAAAGTGGAAAGGTAGCTAGACTCTTAAAAGCTGGGAAGAGAAATGTTAAAGAACAAATAGAAACATCCATCCAAAAGAACATGATTTTGGGGGAGAACAGAGCTAAGCATACGAATATATTAGGGGCATAGTTGCGAGGAGACTTGAGTTTTAGCTAGCTAAGGTTTATTTTAATAATCACACTGTCTGTTCAACGGTAGACACTGCAGCTGGGAATATAAAGCAGGATAAATGTGGTGTTTGTTATCCAATACAGGCTTACACAAATTAGACCTATGATGAGTCCTAGGAATTCCCTGGGACAAGACTGAGGTAATTCAAAACTACTTAGGAAAACACAAGGACAGAATGAAGTTTTTGCTTTTTAAAATGTGTGTAAAACCTTTATAACCCCTCCCACCAATAAATTACTGATTTATTCATTATTAAGAATCAAGGATATGTCCGGCAGCATCTCTGCTGTTACAGAGGCACTTTTGTGGAACATATTTATCATTAATACTGTATTTATAAATACTAGCTAGCAGATTACAATTGTTTCAGTGCACACTATCTTATCTCCTCTCCACACTCTGTTGGTATGATTATTACTATTACTATGTTGGTATTCTGAGACAGGCTCTTGCTATGTAATTCAGGTTGGCCTCCTTGAACTCACTGTGTAACTCAAGCTGGCCTTGAACTTGCAAGGATCCTCCTGCCTCGGCCTCCTGAGTGCTGGATTACAGGTACGTGCCTCCATGTCTGACTTTCTATTAGTAATATTGGTGCAGGTTGAGTATCTCTAATGTAAAAATCTAAAATCTAAAATCCAAAGCTTTTTAAACACTCATAACATGACCACAGTGGAAATTCTACTCTTGACCGCATGGATAGGCCATACAAAACAGATACTCTTAAAGACACTACTGTAAATAACCTTTAGAACTATATACATAAGGTGTATATAAAACATAAGTGAAAATTAAAATGATTTTTAGGAACACTCAAGTTCTTTTTCAGGATCATTCTACAAAATTATTCTAAAAAGATTTAAAATAACACAGCAGTATGTTTGTCTTTTATGACTTTAATCACTTATGAGCTGTTTCTTTCTCCATACATCTAAGTAACAGTTTTATACTGCTATTTCTTGACATTTATTTTTTAGATTCGGTACGTTAGTAGCTTCTTCCCCAAGAAAATGACTTTTTCTCTCTGTGGTTTTCTACCACTTTCCCTTCCTCATCATCTCAATATAGGTGCACCATAACCTTTAGTTAAGTAAATTATAGCTATGGAAGTATCACTCACACTGAGTCTTGCTCTTCCCTGAGTAACACTTCGATTTCTCTGGGTTTAACAGCTGCCTTGGTTCCTGTGGCCCAGTTTTTTATATCCCTATTGTTAATTCTCCCCCAAACTCGCATCATCTCATAATGTTTTTTCTCTCATAATCATCATATGTACGGGTACATTTGGTTTCATTTGTTTCTGAAAGTCGTTATTCCTGAAGCCTTCAAGTCTTCATTTGTTCTAGACCGGTTATTTCTGGGACTGTGGCACAGCTGTGCTGTTGGAATCCTCACCATCTTTCTCGAAGTTTCCTCTGCTTTTGCCCAAGCATGAATTTCTGTTTCTTAGATTCTGTCTTCCTGTTTTTGTCTGCTTCTTTATTCTGATAAAAGTATATGTCTTTGCATTTCTAGAGAAAGGTGCAAGGCAGATAAATTATATGACTCATTCAATGTCTCAAAACTTCTTTATATAACTGAATGCTTGATGTATTCAAAATTTTAACGTGGCAATCATTTCCCCAGAAATACAAAGAAGGTTGTTTTACTTTCAGCTTTCAGGGTATCTACTGACAAGCCCAATGCTATTCTACATGCCAACCTTGTATCAGTGATTTGTTTGCTTTTCTGTGAAGCCTTCTCTTTTCCCCAATGTGAAGTTTCATGCTATTGTGTCTTGGTGTGCTAGAAACTCTGATCCTACAGGTTTAGGCAACATGGTAATACACACACGCTGGCATTCCACTACTTTTTTTAAGTAGTTGTAAATTCCTAATAGATCAGGATCACCATTCTCAGTGACAGTCTCTGCCTGCCTTTTCTTGTCTCCAAGCGAATCTCTTCCTTCAGATTTCAGCCAGGAGGATTCTGCTGTCATGCTCTGAGGTCCCTTATCCACACTGAGATTCGAATGCATTTTTACTTGCCCCTCTTCACCATTAGACAGTGCATTCATGAGACTCACCCACTCAGTAAGTATTAACACTAAATGTGCTGGTTATTATTAACTAATGATGTTTTTCCTCTGTGGGAAATAAAATCAACCCTGAAATTAAGTACATTTCTGAATTATTGAACCCTATTCTTATTGTCTCATTTCTTCTCCAGTATTTCACTTCTCCTTTGTCATAAACAAGCAACAAGAAATCACCATTATACTGTTTGACACCAAAGGAGTCAGGCTCTGATTATGATGAACTTGTGAAAAGAAAAGAATCCAGTTTCTGGACATTGCATGAGCTCCTAGCCACTGAGAAAATGTGTATATAAGTAGTGGAAAAATTATTTTGTATTTTTGAAGTCACACAAATAGATAGTTGGATCTTACTCACTGTGGGAGTTTCAGTTAGGCAAGCCAAAATGAAGGAAATAGTCTAGATTATTTGTCTCATTCTACTCGGCAATTTCAATTTCAAGTTAATTGAAGAGCATAATGAAATGGTGCTTTTCAGGCTCTTATTTTCCCCATATAAATGAAAAATCCCTAACACAGTCTACTTAGAACAAAGTAAGTATCCTAATGTTACTATGCTGCTATCCTGTAGTTTTTGCTGCAAAGGCTGCATCTTCTATTCTTTGAACTGTTCTTTTCTGAGCTACTCCCAGCATTGTACATTTATTGTGTAGCTTCACTGTACTTCATATGGTATTAAACTGAATAGACAAAGACATTGACTCCAGAAATCCACCAATTTTGGGACATATAAATAAGTAACAACAAGATAATCTAGCAAGTGCCAGCCCAGAGCTCTGGGAAAATATTTTTTTTCTGGGAACTCAGAACAGGAGCCAGGTAGGGCTTCCCTGGAAAAGATAATGTTTGGGCTAAGATGGGTAGTATGCACAAGGCTCTCCTACAAAAAGGCCTCATAGGAAAGGGAATCAAGTGCAAAGGTCCTCGGTGTAAAGGGACAGCATGCAGTGGAGAGCTCGCTTCTTGAGTCCAGCCTACACTA